ATTGTCATTGCTAGCTTTCATCATTGACACTGACGTAAGACTCTGTTCATCGTCAATCACCTTCGTCGCCAACTAAGTTTGGAATTTTTTATTTTTGAAATAATTTTTATTACTATTTTATTATTTGTAGTAGTTATAAATTTAGAAGTATTACACCATGATGACCGCCTACCTTAGGAATTAGTAAGTCCTATGTGTTTTATGGCACCAAATGTTGTAGGGTTATACGGTTGCCTGTGAGATTAGTCGAGGTGCGCGTAAGTTGGCCTAAACACTCACGGATATAGAAAAAAACAAAAAAAAAAGAACTTAGAAGTATTACTGTGTAAATATACATACATATATTATCGGAGAAAGTTTTAAAATAATCTGATTTTAAAAATAAATTACAAAAATAATGTTAGTTTAAAAATAATAACAAAATATATGTAATTTAAATAAATAAATTGAAAAGTAAGTTAGGTTTTCAAAACTATTGACAAAAATAGGTTCAATCAAAGTAAAAGTCAAAACTAGTGTACAATGACTGCGATTTCTATGCAAACGTGTATTGTTGACGTGGCTGGTAAGTCAGGCGGAAGTTGCGTCGCGTCGATTGGAAATCGCGTATGTTGTATGCGACTTCCACCTTTTTTATTGGAAGTCGCGTACAATGTATACGACTTCAGCTTTTTTTATTGTTATTTTATTAATATTGTGAAATTTAATTAAGATGCAATTAAATTTTTTTATTTTTTGTTATTATATTTAAAATTTGATTAAAATGTAATTAAAGTCTGAAAGTTTAAAATTAAACTAAAACCAATTCAACGAATTACAAGCTTGTGTTTTCATGTTTTTATATTATAAAGCCAACGTTTGATCGAGAATTTGGACAGAATCATGGTTTCTTTACTCTTTTTTCTTATTTTCATCAGTTCTTTCTTTTGTTTGGGTTTTGTACTTGTGGCTTGCTGAATACTAAGTTTTGCATATATTGTTATTGTATTTCAGGTTTATAAAATGGAAATGGTACCTAAGATTCCTCCCTCTAGCTATCGTTCAGCCAATTTGACCTATCTATCCCATATAGGGAGAACGGTCAAGGTTATTAAGAGTAAACTAACCCCTAGGCAACTTAGTATGTTTAGGAAGACTATTTTCAGCCAGTTGCTAGACGTAGAGCTCGCACTTAATAGGCCACTTATACACAACATGTTGCTAGGGAGTTGGAGGATAGTAGAGCAGACATAATTACTATAGACGTGCTTGGTAATAAGGTATCCTTTGGATTGAGAGAATTTAATATGATTACGGGCCTAAAATATAGTAGGAGGCTGATTTGTAAGGACACTTCTCCCAAGAGGCTTAGAAAGTTGTACTTTGATGACAAAGTTGACATTTTACTAAATGAGTTCAAGACAAAGTACATGGTGATGCGGTTTGAGGATGACCTTGATGCGATCAAGATATCAATGTTATTATTCGTGGAGCTTGTCTTGTTTGGGAGGGACAAGACTTTGAAGTTAGACAATAGCCTCTTAGGAGTTGTGGATGACCTAGAGATGTGTTGTAATTATGACTGGATTGAGATATCTTTCGAGAAGACTATAAGAAGTTTAAAGCATGCACTGACGAAGGAGGGGAAAGATGGGGGTTAAGGAAAACATATAGTCTGTACAATTTCCCCTGAGCATTCCAGATATTTGCAGTATTATTTTAGTTTTACTTTATATTATATTTTGTTCATTCTATGTGATGTTATACCACATGATGATGTTGGTACAAGTGTGGGATACGAAACGATATCCTGTTTGACCGAGCGGGTTGTGCATCCTATAAAACCGGATGTTGTCCCCACACATACTTAAGTGGAAGTGCAAACATTTACCTACGTGGGTTATCATGGAGAAGGAGATATTTTAGTCCGCATCGGTAAGATCCGGACACAAACGTACATACACATGTCGTATTTCTTTTAATATAACGTGCCCTCACTAGTACACCTATATGCAGGCTAAAGTGGCTGTCAGACTATTCACAACGGAAGCGTATGAGAGGTTCATGGAAAGGGTATTCGACCTAACATCTGTTGATGATTACGTTGACGAGGAACAGGCAATGGAAGGTCTGACGTGCAGTATGATGCCACCTATGTCGATCCTGATGTCCCGACCGTGGATGTAGAGGTACAAGGTAAGGTCAAGACCAAGAGTGATAAGAAGCATCGGTGCAAATGCAAATCTAGCTTGAGGATCCTCACTGAGCAGGTGGCTACTATGGATATGTGGCTTGCCAGTGTGGAATAGGTAGTCACTTCTATGGATGATCGCGTCGCTGGTATGGGAGGTGATTTGAAAAGCATTCAGAAGTTCTTGCGTCATCTAGTTAAGGTGTGTACTCTATTAATGCTTTCTATATCTCAATTAGTTGTGCTCTGACATTATGCTTGCTGCATATAGGGCATACCAGTTGATATACTTCGATTATTAGAAAAAACATTGGTGAAGATGGAGATGACACTAGTGACGGAGATTCTGTAGGATTGGGATGTGGTAGTAAGAATCTGACAAATGACAAGGATGAACAGCGTGTCGGTGAAAATGAAGCGGATAAGATACCGACGCAATGGAAATTGAGCCTACCGAACGAAGAGGTGAGGTTGGGGACGTGTTGAATGCATCAGAGGCTACGGAAGTGTTTTGAGACATTGATGGGAGTTTGAAATAAACGRAGCCTATTGGATACGAAACAGCATGCATCAGTAGTGGATGCAACGGTATCAATTGGTGGGGTGCAGTAAGGTACGAAAGCTCCCAAGGAAGTACCAGACCTACAGACACCCGAGGTAAGTACAAAATATAGTGTTTTTATGTATTTCACTTACTAACTAGTGTTTGACTTACTAACTATATTGTTTACAAGATCAAGTTTTTTATGACTTTTTGAATTCGGAATTGGACATGGCACAGATTCTTCAGAGGACGTGCACATTCTGTCCCAGCCATTTAATCCCCCTCCTCCTCGTCGGAGGAAATGGAAAAGGAAAACACCATGGAAGCTTCGAGGGTCCTTCAAAGTTAAGGTTGGAGGTAAATGGAAGAAGATCATGGTTTACAATCCGGTCGTCGAGATCCCAAAGGAACAAGATTCCAAATTTCAGAAGTGGTTGGATGATGACAGTAACCCACGATCAACGCGGAAGACATGCGAGGTAAGTACGAAATATAGTGTTTTTATGTATTCACTTACTAACTATATTGTTTACAGGACCAAGTCTTTGATGACTTTTCGAATATGGAATCCGATGAGCTCCTCGACGTCAAGTCACAACCCCCATAAAGCTCATCAGACATGGCACACGATCATTCAGAAGACGTACGCATTCTGTCCTAGCCATTTAATCCCTCTCCTCCTCGTCAGAGAAAACTGAAGAGGAAAACACCATGGAAGCTTCGAGGGTCCTTTGAAGTTAAGGTTGGAGGTAAATGGAAGAAGGTCATGGTTTGAAATCCGGTCGTTGAGATCCCGAAGGAACAAGACTCCAAATTTCAGAAGTGGCTGGATGATGACGGTAACCCACGATCAACGCAGAAGACATGCTACGCAAAACGAGGAAAGCAATGGTTCCAGGATATTCTAACACCATAAAAATGGTGTTTGTGCAAGTTACAACTATTTTTCATACCTTAAATTAGTTATATTAATGTTCATACCTTCACTTCCAACTGAACTTAAATATGTTATTGGTCTTTACAGATAGTCGATTCCTTGGTCATGTTTGTGCGTAAGAAGCTCGAATTACGATTGGATTTATGTCGTCGCAAGTTCATCATCGGCGACAGGTGACATAGTACTTTTGGTAAGCTTTCTTATTCAGTAATTCATCAATTTATACCGTATTTTATATAATTATAGTCGTACTGGTTACAGAACTTCCTCAGACGAACGAACGTTGTCTATGCCTGCATGCAATCTTATAATGGCATTGCTTCAAGAGTTGCATCAGACTATGATTGGGAGGGAAGAATGAAGACTGTGCTCAGCTGCATCGATGATACTCACTCGGACTACGAGAGGCAATGTATGAATGTTGATGTCATATATCTACCGTACAATATCAGTGGAATGCACTGGATAATGGTTTGCATCAATTTCGAAGAGGGTGAGCTTATCGTGTGRGACTCCTTAATGGCAATGACACCACTACCAAAGTTGGATGAGGAGCTGAAGGCGATGATAACTATTATCCCGACACTTATTTGTAGGGGCGGTGTACAGATAAATAAGCCGAACATACCACTCACGCCATAGCGCATCCATAGAGTCTCATCAACACCCCAGTAGGAGATGGACGATGATTGTGGTATATTTGTGTCAAATTTTTTGAATATGATATGACTGACTCTAGCTTTGATACCTTAACACAGTATAGGATATCACATTTTAGGCAGCAATTTGCTGTTCAACTTTGGGCGAACAAATCCATTTTTTGAACCATAAAATTGTAATAGTTCAACAAACATTATTTTATATATTCCAACGCTGTTATTGTGATCATTGAACTATTTTTTTAATCTTATAGTTGAATGCGGTTTTGGTCATTGAGATATACTTGATTGTTGTTCAGATACCTCAATTCGAAGTTTTTAAGATAAATACATGAACATTTGATGAAAAACTACTAGAATTCGAAGTAGTTGAAAAATTATAGGAACCACGGCTGTGGTGTTGAGAATTTATGGCTGTGTTGGCGAGAACTCACGGCCGTCAATTTTTGGGAAAACTAACTTCGAAGTGTCACCACGACCGTGATCGACAAATGCCACGGTCGTGAAACATTCCCAAACATGTTCATTCATCCATAGTTGATCCTGGACGTGTTTAGATATATTTCGACCATGATATTTTGTAGAGTAATGAAAAATATATCAACTGGTTCGGTCGAATAATAGAAAACTAAATAAGAGTACAACGTTTTCCAAAAGAATGTTAATAGTTCAGTTAATGTTTTACATGTCTCAATCGATAGTTCTAAGTGGTTGGCGACATGTTTTTCCATTATGTTCCATGTTGCCACACCGATCGCAATTATGGACTTGGCGGTTTCCCCAACAAATGGAATTCATACAGTTTGGATGTCGGCCAACATGCAGAAAATATTTGGGCGGCTCCACTTTAAGGTCGACGAAGTCATCAGGTAAAATCCAATCCTCTTCATCACCGAGAGGGCACACAGGTTCGACATATGCGTTAATGAGAGTTTGGAGAGTATATGCAGGTGAGCATAGTATGTACATGTTCACGTTTCGATAGATGGCCGCTGCAATAGCGTGGTAGCAAGGAAGCTGGAAGTAGTCAAACTCTTTACATCCATATGTCTTTGCATTTAAATTCAGTCGCACCCTTTTTAGTCCATTACTTCCCTCAAACTCGTGGTGTTCAATGAGTGTTATGTAGTGAGCACGAGAGAGGTTCTGTGCAGTACGCATCTTAGTCTCACCATAGTCAGTAAGAATGGTTTCCCGACTGGATGCGTAGGTTCACCTCTCGTAAACCAGCGCTGTAAGAGCGCTCGAGCGTGTTCAAGAAGTATAGTGACTGGCAATGAACGTGTATGGACGAGGACTGAATTCATAGACTCTGCAATATTAGACATCATTTGGTCGTACCTCAAATCCGGTTGAAATGCACGAGTCCAACTTTCAAAACTGATTCCTTCCAAGTACCTTTGGACCTCTAGAAATCATGATAGTTGGGAAAAATAGTACCTGAACTCTGACTTCCGACATGCCTTTACTGCTAATTTGAATATTTCTTGCATGACATCATGGACAAGTGCTATATGCATATTCCGTGAGCCGCTTAAGGAAAGACCTACCTAACAGATTTCGTAATGGAAACATGTCAATCAGATACGAATAATAACCCATCAACCTCTCCAATACAACGCTTGACCATATTCAGAAACCAAGTCCAGGATTGATCACTCTCATGATCAACAATTTCAAATGTAAGAGGATAGATTTGATTGTTGCCATCAACAAAAGAAACAATAAGAATAACACCTCTCTATATTTTACCCTTGAGATGTGCACCATCTATCACGAGCACTGGATGGATACAACTAGAGAACCCTCTAATACAGCAACTGAGGGTCATGAACGTGTACTTAAAATACTTATCTTATTCCAGCTCCATTTCAAAAACAGTGCCTGCGTTAACAGCCTTCAATGCTTGACCATACTTGTGTAACATAGTATATGAATATGTAGGTGACCCCATCAACATATTTAAGGCAATATATCTGGCCCGCCATGCCTTTTCATATATAATGTTCACCTCATAGTTCTTTCGCATGTCGTTAATAATGTCCGTAGGTCTGTACTGACGGCTTACATCCTCGAGATTGGATTTCAATAACTGACCAACCACCCAACTCCGAGCTTGCCTGTGGTCATAGTTCAGTACTTCACACTTGCACTTATGAACATTAGTAAACTTCGAAATGATGAATGAGTCACCACCTCAAATACTCTTTGCACGCAAACCCCATTTGCAACATTGTCTGGTACATCCAATAGTGTACAATATCTTCGTCGATTTTTAACCTTAAATTCAAAATTAAGCTTCATAGCTAACACAGACAGCTTGAAGCGTAGTTCTTCCTTCGAATGAAAAATACCTTTAACATCAATTTCACCTACATAGTCTGTCTCATCGCCAATTATGATATTCTGCATCGGACGTGAAACGACTCCTTCAACTGTGTGACAAGATGCATTCCTACTCACTTTATGGGATTCACGAACAGGTTGACCTTCATTCTCATAATGGTCTTCAAGCATATCCTCGTCTCCATTGTCATACTCATTCCCACCATCGTTCTCAATCTCTGCTTCACTATCCTCGTCATCAACCCCATCCTCAATATGATATTCATCATAATCATACTCATCATCGCTCTGAAGCTCGTACTCAACTTCATTCTCATACAATTGACCATAATATGGAGATTCATCATCGCCTAGGTTACATGACACAACATTATCGGTAAATGGTGTAATCTGTGGGACAATTGAGGGGGGACATACATCGTCTAGAGGAGAGTGAATAGAAATAGAAGGGTCGAACATGGATCATTCTACCTTGGGTAGTATGGGAATGAAGACGATGTATGAGTTTCCAAAAAAGTATTTCCTCTCTTACTCCCACTGCCATATGATGCTTTAGGTAGGACGGTTATGTACAAGGGTACTTGCGATGGATCGGGAGGACCATTCGAATAGAATCTCAAACTGGTATCATCAAATATCAAATAGTTCAGGACTTCGTACTAAAAATAAAATCTATATATACACTGTATAACAAGATCAAATTGGTCAGGATCAATTCTAGTAAGCATGTGCAAAGCACTTACTAGGTTGACATATGTTATCGTTTCATCAATAACATCTAGCCCACCCATAATGCCACCTTCGTACATAGTACTAACCTCATTCCACTTTGCCATCGTAGATCACAACTAGTCGACGCATTCTGCATGGATAATAATAACAACATACAAGTAATCAAAGTTGCACAACACGACCGTGATAGTTTAAGATACGCTAGATAATATATGGGTATACAACCACGATTGGGGGTACCCACAATCACGACTGAAAATCAAACAACAATTGATCGTGGTCGTTAGACGAAGAAATTGTATTCGTATACAACCACGGTGAGGGAACGTACTACCACGGTCGTGAATCGAACAATACATGACCACGGTCGTGAGACGATGAAAGGGTGTTTGTGTACAACCACGACCAAGAATCAAACAAAATGGACCATGGCCGTGAGGTGATTAAAGGTATATGTATACAACCATGACCGAAATAACCTACTACCACGACCAGGAATCAAACAAACACAGACCACAACCGTTAGACGAAGAAATACGACCGAGTATCGTTGACTTAGGGAACTTTTGACCCACAAAAATACGCATAAAAGTTCATAAATTACATTCACTCGAACTACATACATCATATACTGAACGAATTGAAAACAATATTATGAGCAAATCAAAAACTAACCTCATTCAAGATATCAAAAATGAAAAATTGGCTTCCTTTGAGGTGTTCAAAATGTTGGAAAATGTATGAAAGTTCTTGAAAAAAACGTGAAAGATATGCATGAGAACAATAAGGACTTAAACAAACTTTTATTCTCTACAATCTGTGCGAATGTATGAGTATATATTAAATGATAGTACAAAAATTTGGTAAAAAATTAATAAGTTGGTGGTACTTTAATAAATTCACGGCCGTAAATCAAATGGAATTCGCCCAGGGTTTTAATTACACCAACGTAACTATTTCCATGCAAGATTGGTTGTAATTTAATTAATTCATGGGTATATTTGTCATTACATCATCTCTGAAAGGTAAGAAAAATTAAAATTGGGTTCTAATTGAGGTAGTTGGAGCAAAACTTATTTCGTCGCGTGTGCCAGTTTCCCATTCTCTACACTACAATCATCCAGCAGTGAGGGAACTCCCTCACTGTTTCGAAATGGAGCTCTGTGTTATTGGTAATGGATATCAGCATGTTCTGGCGACTCAGTTACCCACTCCTCCTTCTTTAATGGCTTCTGCACCGCGTGCTGTCCCCAGGCTCAGCAATCATCGCTCCAACTCTCTCGCAACCGTCCCTAAAGAGCAACCAATCCACCCCAGCTCTCAAAATCGTAAGCTCTTCAATGGTCAGAAGCGCCACTCCAAGTCATACCTAGAGAGACAATCCGCTATTAGACAAGTTCAGAACTGCTCTGAGTTGGGTCCGGCTCTTGCGAGGTTGTTCTTTTTATTTCTTGCAATGTGTGTTTGGAGTTTGAGTTTGAATTGTGGGATTCACTTGCTTCGTTTTGATGCGTCTAACGATGTTTTCTCCATTGTCAATGCTAGTTTATTGTACTGTGGAATGCCAAGAGGGATTTTCTTTTTTCTTCTCTGGTTTAGGAAGTTTTAAATTGGGCAAAAAGTTTTAGCTGCATTTGCGATATCTTTGAGTTTGTCCATATGCATATTTTATCCCTTCACGACCAAATTAAATGGTTGTTGCTTTCAAGGGTGTGGCGTGACTCCATGAGTTGTTGTGGTCAATTATCTCGAATCGGGACACGGTATTTGACTAAGCGGATAGCCAATTTGAGGTGATCAACCATTGTCTGGAGACCTATCTGAGGTGCTTCTATAACAAAAAAACCTAGTCACCGGCAATAATGACTGCTATCATGAGTTGGATTTTGGTATAGTACAATTCTCCACCTAAGCTGCATCCTTCCATGTAGTTTACGAAAGGCCACCACCTCTTCTAGTTCATTATGGCATCAAAAGACATCAAACTCTCCCTTGATCAACCATCATAGGAACATGATCGGGCCTTAGAAGACCCTAAACTCTAACATTTAATTGCACAAGCCATAATGAAGAAATCATCCGATCAACATCAAAGGGATGTATGATTTGTTGGGGGTGATTTGGTTTATTTAAAAGTTTGTCCTCATTGTAGATAATCCTTAGCCAAAAATAATGGGGAGCTTGCACCCAAATATTTTAGCCCCAACAATGTGGTACATAGAGCGGGTAGCATGGTGTAAAAATTGGATCTACCCTCATAACTTTTATTCATGTCTCACAACTTTGAAAAGCCTTAGGGAAGGGTACACTTTTTTTTTTTGGTAGGAGAGGGAAGGGTACACTTGTTCAACCACTTCTGCCTATGCTATCCATAAAATTAGAAAGGATTATGGAACTGGAATAAATCTTGGTGTTAAAGAAGAGCAAAGACTGACCTGTGGGAAATATGAATCCAATGGAAAGATCGTCTGGTGTTTTAAGCTTTATGAAAATCTTCTTATTATTACCAACTACTGACTGAGGCTTTTCTTTTTCTTATCTCTCACATTGTTTCATATTTCATCTTTTTTATTTTCTTCGAAGGAGAAACAAAAATGTCTTTGATAAACATATTTTGTATTTTGTTTCCAAAGATGGAATTTTGCTAAAGCCATGCTTCTCTTTATCATTCAAAATAGAAGATTATGTTATTGTACTCACTTTAGGGTGGTGTAAATGTTTCTACTCTTCCTTTGATAGTTACAAACTAAACGACCTAATCTCAAATTGGAAGGTTTTCTCGTAATTTGCCTATGGAGCCTTTTGCATATTTCATATTATCAATGAAATACTCATTTCTTACCAAAAAAAGAAAAAAAGAAGATTTTTTACTGGCTGAAACGTTAAGCTGGATCTAATTTTTTTCTCATCATATTTTTCTTGTGCAGATTTAGTGGAATTCTAAAAGTGCAAGATTTGAATGTGATACTGCGACATTTTGGCATGTTGAGTCGGTGGCAGGATCTATCTCAGGTGCTTCTAGGGACATTAGTCCGCTTGTAATTATGTATTTATTGGATCATGAACAAGCTGAATCTAGTTAAGTGTAGTGTCTACTCAAAATTTTCAGAATTACTCCTTACAGGATATCTTCTTAACTGGGGAGTTTTTCTTGTAACGTTGTGGTATTCTTGGGAAATATGTTCATACTCCAAATGAGGACTTGTTGTCTTGTACTACTATTTTAACTTATCATTGAAAAGTTCCAGTTATTTTGTTTTATTTTTTTAAAAAGGAATACCTCCTTAAATCTTTTCTAAACCATTTTTCACTCATTTTCATCCTTACATTTTCTTTTGTTGAATTGAAGCTGGTACATACTGCTATTGGTTGTCTTCACCTGTGGGTTTGAGAACTTTCTAAACTGCCTGTTCTTTGACATTTGTTTACATTTGTTGTTGTTGCAGCTCTTTGAGTGGATGCAGCAGACTGGAAAGACTAACGTTTCTTCTTACAGCAGTTATATAAAGTTCGTGGGGAGAAGTCTTAATCCTTTGAAGGCACTGGAAATCTACAATAATATTCAAGAAGTATCAACAAAGAATAATGTGTTCATTTGTAATTCTGTTCTCAATTGTCTGGTGAGAAATGGCAAGTTCGACACCAGTGTTAAGTTGTTTCATCAAATGAAGAATGATGGTTTATGTCCAGATACTGTTACATACAGCACGGTATGATATTTGTAATTCATAGCATCATGCCTAATTTTCTAATTGAGCCACCTTTCCTGTTATCTGTTTGCGTTGTGCATTCTTCCAGTGAATGTTAACAAAATTAGGCAGGGAAATTGGCCACTTTATATAATAAGCAATTATGTTTGAACACATTCAACAATATGACATTAACAGTTTCACAGTAGAAGCATGATAAAATGATTCTATGATAAAGGGTTCAAAACTTTCCTCTTGGCTCCTTATCTGGGTGTGAGGTTCATGAGTTTTCGTCCTCTTTAGGGCTTCCTTTCCATAATTCAAAATGTGTAAATTTCTGGTCTCCTATTATGGAAAAGTTTCAAAAGCATCTATCTTCCTGGAAAAGGGTCTTCTTCTTGAAAGGAGAGAGACTCATCCTTATTCAGTCACTGTTAAGAGGAATTTCATCCTACCTTTTTTTTTTTTTTTACAGAACTTTTCATAGATTAATGAAAAGGAACAAAATGTTTAAAAGATACAAACTCCCTACAAAACTTTTCATAGATTAATGAAAAGGAACAAAATGTTTAAAAGATACAAACTCCCAAAAGGAGTGGAAAAAGAAAAAAGGCAAAGAGAAAGCAAGATTGTAAATAAAGTGATACAACGCAAAAGAGCCAAAGAAGAAAAACTACACAAAGGCCAAAGCAACTACTATCTAAAAGAAAAAAAGCAAAGAGAAAGCAAGATTGTAAACAAAGTGATACAATGCAAAAAAGCCGACGAAGAAAAACTACATAAATACCAAAACAACTACTTTCTAATAGAGCCTCCCAATAGGGAGGAACCATCTCACTTCTTGTCCCTTCTAATGATCCTAGTGCTCATTTGCAAAAGCTTGGAGAAAGATCATGGGGAATTGATTGTGGGAAGGAGTGGATGAGGGGGGGGGGGGTCAATTTGGTTAATTGGGATATCGTCTTGAAGTTGATGGAGGTAGGGGGTTGGGTAGTGGGAAATTGAGATTCAAGAATGAGGCCTTACTGGCCAATTGGCTATGGCATTTTTCCTTGGAGCCTAATGGCTTTTGGCATAGGATTATTGTGAGCAAATATGAGTTCCTTTTGATTGGGTCTCAGTCAGTGGTCCTACTATCTCAAGTAAATGCCCCTGGAAGGCTATATCTTCTATTGTCTCTTTTTCCTTGCAGTTTGTCTCATGCTCCGTTGGGGATGATACATCTACTTATTTTGGGAGGATTGCTAGGTGGGTGATAAACCCTTGTGTCTTGAGGTCCCCAAGGAATTCCTCTTCTCTTTCTCCAGGACTCTCTCGGTCCTTGACGAGTACAAAATCTTTGGAGGTTGTTGAGTTAATTGTGTCTCTTGGAGAGGTTCACTTGATTCAGGGAAGGAAAGACTTTCGCCTTTGGTCCCTAATCCTTCGTTGGGTTTTACTTGTAGATCTTTCTAACCTTTTGAGTGTTTTGTCGCTTCTTCCTAATGCCTCGCTGTTCGCTCGCTTTAGAAGGTAAAAGTTCCAAAGAAGATTTTGCTCCGCAGGTTTTATATTGAAAAGCTAATACCATGGACCATCTTCAGGGGGGTGTTCTTCCTTTGTGTTGGGTCTTTAGTGTGTGTTCTTTGCAAAAGTGTTTTTGAGGACCTTGATCATATTTTGTGGAGCTGGCAGTTTGTGCAGTCTATTTGGGTCGGTTTTTTGGGTCTTTGTGGTGTCCTTAGCTTGTAACAGGGAGTGTAGGGCAATGGTGGAGGAGGTTTTGCTAAGAAGCACGGACACGGATAAGGGACACAGACACGGATATGGGACACGGACACGGAAACGGACACAGACACGATAGGACACGGCGATACGTCAATTCCTAAAAAAATAGGACACAGACACGTTGGGGATACGTTTATTTTTTTTTAATATTTTTTTTAGGATATATGTAAATTTAACACAGAAAATGCTAAATACAATAAAATGCATAAATATGAAGTCAATTACATCCTTTAACAAAAGTTACAAAACAAAGTTCCAAAGGACCAATATAGTGACAAAACAAAGAAGGAAGGGACGTAAAAGAGGATTGTTTTTATTAGAGTTTAC